TTTTGGGGTATTCTGACAACAAAGACTATCACCAAAGATGTCAACAACTCAAACTAGAACCTCTCTGGATCAGGCGTATCAAACTAAACCTTATTTTTCTCTACCGGCTTCTTAACGGTATTTCTTACTCTTCGCTATCTACCCCATCATACTCTATGATACCGTCCCACAATCTACGCAATAAGGAAAATATTATAGCGATTCCAAAAACCCAAACAAATTTACGCCAGAATTTTTTCGTTATTCGCTACTCAACCATCTGGAATAGACTACCAATGAACCTCCGATGCAGTGAAACTATAATCCGGTTCCGAAGTCTTCTTGATGACTTTCTTTCCGAAAGTGGATTGTGTCACCTTTTGAATATTAACGTGCTTAACAACGATTTATACAAAAAAGGTCCGTCATCTATCTAACTGACTGAAAAGCAAAGTAAAACCTTTGAAATTTTTCACGTCTATTTCACTTTATTTTATATTTATCTGAATATACAAAGTCTGCTTATATTTGCATTTATAATTATTACTGTTATTAATATCATTATTGGTCATTCGACACATTAGATATTCTTTTCATCTCTTCTTGTCCTTGTAAACATATTTTATCCAAAGTCTACAATGAAAAACAAAAAACCCCTATGTTCCACTTAAATAATTTTTTTTTTCCAAAATATTCACAACATATAACGTATAAAAATTTATATTTCATTATTCTTTGCAATCAATTATGACTATGATAGCATCATTCTAAATTATTATTATTGCACTAATGTTTATACAACAACCCGGTTTCACTCTATATACTGTTACATAAATCTACACGTATTTATCCGTAAGGGTTTATTATTGTTGTTATTATTATTATTTTAAAATTATTCGTTCATCTCAAAAGTCTATATCCATTACACTATTATGATCATTGTTGAACCTTTTCACTATGTGTTCATTTCTTTTCTCTCTCTCGCTCTCTTTTTTCCTTCTAAATAAATATTATTCTTAAGATTAAGAAGCTTTGGATTGAGACAATAACTTGTGTTACATTGAATTCAACTTATCACACTCGTTTTATCTTCACTATGTATATACACCTCATAAATATTGATTATCTTTTGCACTTAATTGAGACTTTCATAGCATCACCCAAAACTATGACTGTGCTTGCACAAACACTTATTCTAACGTCATATCTTACCGCAATAATAAGTTATTTACTTATTAATTTATTCTGTTTTATTTCATTTTTATTACTCGTTTTTGCTATACATACATAGTTGTTTATTCTTGTTCTGCGTTAAGATATTTGCGTCTCCCGCGTCTCCTTTATTTCTATTTCTTTAGTTTCTTCCTTTCCTCCTTCAAAATCAATTCAAAATTCTTGCTAATTACACAGAACCTCATTTATTATTACTATTCTATTATTAATATTTTATTTTCCTTTTCCTTCCTTTCTCAAACGTGGCATATGTATTGTTAACATTACTGAAAATTGTGTATTATTGCATTTTTGAAGAAACCCGAAATGGTTTCTTCACAGCACTTATGTACCCATAAAGTGTTTGTGAATAATAATAATAATAATAATAACTCAAGCAAACTCTGATATTCGGGAATGGAAATTCATTAAGCATTCCTTAAAACTCAAGAACATATTGACCCACCAGGTAATGCGACTAGCCAAGAGAGAGGAGACTCTAGGCCCCGGCTGTTGAAGATAACCTTCCCCTCCTCCCACATGGCGGCTGCAACTCTGGAAGCATTTCGTGCCAATAGACGTCGGTTGCCAACTGGCATCCATATGCATCCGGATAGGCCCCACGACAGCAGGATCACGCACAAACGATAACTGGAGCTGACAATTCCACTCGTGGACTGTCTTGATCATTAAAAAAACGTGTAAAGGACAGGGACTACCAACTCGGTAAACATCGTATAGGTAGGCTACCTGTCCACTCACACACGGCTGATATAGACAAACAAGAAGAGGCTCACGCGTTCCAAATTGAAAGCATAAACTGCCTATACACGAACGCCGCGAGCTTGCCAAAAAAATGGACGAGCTACGTGAACTTAGCAACGCTAATGATGCCCATCTGATAGGAATATCCGAAACTTGGATAACGTCTCAGTTTACGGACCAGGAGTTAGCAATAACTGGGGTGTCTTTACTTCGCAACGACAGAAAAACAGGAATGGAGGGTGGGGCAGCACTATATATACGGTCATGCCTGGATGCGCACCAATTTCACAACCAAGAGTTTCTCAATCTTGATGAGTCAGTATGGTGCTCAGTAAGATTGTCTACAACCTCGAGGTGTCTAGTTGGGGTCATTTATAGGAAGCCCACTGCCGACATCGAGTATGATAAGCGTCTGCTGGAAGGATTAACTCGCTCTACGCGTCTCGGTTTCTCTCATATCCTGATTCTAGGGGACTTCAATCTCCCTAGAATCAATTTCGTGGAACATACATACATTGGTGGTGCCAACTCTACTGAAGCTCTGTTCTTCGACCTTATCGGCGACCTGGGATTATTTGAAAATGTGAAGTCGGCAACCCGTTGGAGAAACAGTCAGACGCCGTGGCGCTTAGACTGGGTATTCACAAATGAAGAATTCCTAGTTGACAACCTCTCAATCCTGGCTCCCCTGGGGAAAAGTGATCACGCCGTCTTATCATTCAGCTTTGTCAGCAAAACGGAGTTACGATATCCTACTAGCAACAAGCGCTGGAACTTCAAACGGTTGAATGTGTTAGCTTTACAGGACTATCTACAACAGGTGGATTGGGATGTTCGCCCTCAAATTGAAGTGGATGCTCAATGGGATTTTTTACTGCACACGATCTTATGTGCTACTGAGCATTCAGTTCCTAAAATGGTCACAAAAAGCTACAAACAACCTCCGATCATCAAGAACCGCACTCGTCGTTTGCTAAGTCGCAAAAGGCACTGTTGGGCTGAATATAAACGAACTGATAACAACGGCGGGTTCAGACAGTACAAACATATAAGGAACATATGCACAAAGGCAATAAGAGAAGACAGGCTTCAGTACCAGATGAAACTTATCGATAGATTTGTCTCCAATCCGAAGAGCTTATTCAGTTACGCAGCTTCTCTTCGACAAGGCAAAGCTGGAGTTTCCCAACTGCTAAGTCCTAATGGCCCGACCAATAACGACGGTTATGCCGCTAACCATTTGGTTGAACAATACTCTCAGACATTTCAGTTGACCCACATCAACGATACTGGCGAAAGCTTCACCTGCACCTGTACAGGACTTTCCGAAGTGGACCTGAGTGCTGAACTGGTGCTCCACAAACTGCAGCACCTAAAAAAGACACTTCTCCTGGTCCGGACATGGTTCATTCCGCTGTATTGAGGGAAACAGCTTCAATCCTGGCGACACCACTTAGCATGATGTTTGCACACTCGCTAAGCAGAAGCAAACTACCTGAAATTTGGAAGCTGGCCCACATCACACCAATTTTCAAAGGAGGTCGACGCAGTGAACCCTCAAGCTACCGACCAGTGGCCCCTCTCTCCATACCTTCAAAAATTATTGAATCTCTAATATACGACGGTTTACTAGAATACTTATCATCCTCAAAGTTCTTCTCACATCAACAGCATGGTTTCAGAAAGGGTCATTCTTGTATGACCAACCTGCTGACTGCAGTGGATAGATGGGCAACCATCCTTGATCGCAAGGGGAAGGTTGACGTCATCTACCTGGACTTCTCAAAAGCTTTTGATAGGGTCAACCATGCATGTCTTATCAAGAAGCTTGGACGATTGGGTATAAAACCCCCTTTGATTGATTAGCTCTCTTCATATTTAGAAAACCGACACTTTAAGGTCAGGGTTAACTTCACTCTCTCTCAGGCTATGGAATGTCCTAGTGGGGTCCCCCAGGGCTCAATACTAGGAACTCTTCTCTTCTTGATTTATATTAACGATCTTCCTCAACAAGTTTCATTTGACTTATTGCTTTTTTGCTGATGATGTGAAACTTTGGAGAGAGATACGTAATCATAATGATATACTAGTTCTTCAGGAGGATCTGACCCGACTTCAAAGTTGGTCAGACGACAACGGTCTTACCTTCAACACTTCAAGGTGCAAGGTAGTCCATCTGAGACATGTTGCAGACTATAGGTATAACTTAGGTAACTCTCCTCTAGAAGTTTCTCAAGTTGATAAAGATTTAGGAGTGTTGGTACCCTATGACCTGAAATCGTATGCGAACTGTGACAAAAACGCCTCTCAAGTAAACCTTGCACTGGTAACACTGAAGCGCATTTTTGGCCAGTTTGACTGTAGAACCTTCCATATAATGTTCAACAGTTTTATTCGTCCCCACTTAGAGTACGGAAACATAGTATTCCCTCCCTCCAAAAGGATAGGGACACTCTGGAACGTATACAACGTCGAGCCACGAAATCAGTTCGGGGACTCAAATTCAAACCTTACAAAGAGCGCCTCAAATCACTTAACATTTACCAGTTAGAGTACAGGCGTCTTAGAGGTGATCTTCTTATGACTTACAGTATCCTTAATACTTCTGGTCATCCCCTTAAACATCTTCTTAATCTTAGTCATAACACTAACCTGAGAGGTAACACCCAAAAATTGGAGACCCTACATAGCAGAACAGACTGCAGACACAACTTCTACTCCGTTAAAGTTGTAAAGTGCTGGAATTCGCTACCGACTGAGCTAGTTCAAGCGACCTCCCAGGAGTCCTTTAAGAGGAAACTTGACTTATTCTTAAGGACTAAGGATAACATATTATTATGATTTACCAAATTCTTTTTTCCCTCTATTATCGTTCATATACCTAGGTTTCTGTCTGGAGGTATTGGTGATCCACTGCTACCAGACACGGAAGCCCGTTAAGCGAAAGCTTCTTCTATTCCGTCCACAACCATTTGAACAATTTGTTATAGTTTATGTAGTGGTTACCCGCCATTTCAACGATTTCGTCGTTGTAACATAGTCCTATGTCTTCCTCTGATTCAAGACGTGGAGTGCGTAAACGTACACATGACAGAGCCTTTAGTAGTCGTTCAACTACTGTAGACTCGTTGCCTTCATCCTGTAATGGTCAAAAACCTCCTTCGAGTGTACATTTCAAGTCTAAGTCCATGTCTACAAGTTTGAAAAGGTTTGTAATATTCATGCGAAATTACGTACGTTTAAGAATACAAAAGGAATTAACGGACATCATGTCAGATCCTCCGCCCAATTGCAGGTATGGTTTTTAGTAGTTACTTTATTGTTAGTGCATTTCCGCGAGGAGATAATCTCTATGAATGGGTATCAACTTTATTAGGTCCTCAAGGATCTGTTTATGAAGGTGGAATATTTTTCCTGGACATTCACTTTTCTATGGAGTATCCGTTTAAGCCCCCAAAAGTACTATTAATTATATGTTACAGTTAATCGTCTAGGTAATTTTTAAAACTCGTATCTATCACTGCAATATTAACAGTCAAGGTGTGATTTGCCTAGATATACTCAAGGTAAGTTATGTCCCTACATCAAATTTTTTTTCTGACTGGGTGGTAAATCAGGATACAAACCTCAATTATCCTAGTTAAAACTTGATAATTTGATTAACTTAAGTAGTTTCAGTCGTAATGCTACATAATTCCACCTCATTTAGAAATTTTTGATTTTAATGTGTATCGTACGATCATCTACTTTATATAATTTAGTTGTCTCTTCAGTAGAGGATGTTTTTTAGGGTCCCACCCAAACAAATTAACCATTCTATACGCACATCAGGTCTCACCATCCCTTAAAGGTTCTTGGCCATAGTATTGTGAAAGTCAGCTTATCAATTAAATACAATCACCAGTACGCTAATCACATTGCTTCTTATTTTACTCATTTAAGTGTGATCATTGAAGTGACACTATTCTTGTTCGTGTAAACTTATCCAATTCACTTCGTGGATAGCTGAGTACTCAGTGATCATACCATTAAGTTAAGAAATAGCGTTTTTATGGGATGGATTCCAGTCTAAAAACGGGTGTTATTATAAGTTATGGGTGATAACGAGACATTCATGGTTACTATATTCATCAACATTGAGCCTGACACGGATATAGTCGGGATACCACTTTAGCACGGCGAGGTAGGAATAACAATGAGTTGTAGAAAAATCGAAATAATTTATTAGTAATCATGATGAGAAAGACCAAATATTGAGATTGTAAAGAGAGTACGCTGAATATGGGATATATTCTGGGGTAACCAGAGGGACCTGAAATGGAAACCGGATCAGTGCTTGTCTTAACGACCTGGAAGCGTGACCACAGAGCCCAAGGGAAGACTACTTGAAGCCGGTCACACACAGCCTTTTTGTGGGAGGTTTTTGATATGTTAGTTCCGTTCTTCAAAAGGCCATACCGCTGGAGACGGAAATCCGTAAGGTAAGGCGTGACATTTTTAGGGTCGACCCCTTCCTTTCTTGTGAGAAGACAGCATCGCTGCAGATGTTGGCTGTCCGAGGGAAACACCTTACTGCTGTCACACCTCTAGTCATCAGTAAGACTCCGCCCTCAGACCTTGAGTCGCTGCTTTTAGTTTTACCGTTCCCCAATAGACCTGCCTGGCATGGTAGAACCTACAGAAACATACGTTCCAGCCAATACAGCTCCGTTGGGTCATCACGATAGATTAGCCCGACCACAACGTCAGGGTATCAGCTACGGTCCGGTTCTGGGTAACCTATTGTGGTTTTCGCTCTGAAGCAAAAACTAGTCACACCTCTTGAAGACTTTCAGCGAAAATTAGATCTTATCAGTTCAGTGAATGAAAGTTGTTGATAGGCTAGGGATAAGATCAGTTAAGGAAACCTAAATGTGGAATAACATACGTGTATATAATGGCCACAAACAATCTTAAGCAACGAAACCAATAGCATTGGAAAGGTCCTCAAGCCCACTGAATTCGTAAAGTCGGCAGATGGTGAAATTCGTAACAAAAGAATAACTGCTCAGTTTCTTCCCTACAACAGTCAACAGGCGTAGTGAAACTGCTTTCAATTACCAAGTCACACATTTGGACCTTGTTATTAAAGGCTGTCACTTAGCTTGTCTATTTCGCGTTTCTCTAAAATCATGGGATCCACTGAAAGGTAAATTAGTGATCGATGGTCAAATCCCAACTAGTTTCGTTTTAGTAGCCAAGATCATGTGTATATAGCGTGGGATCAAGGGCAAGTGTGTATCCGTCCAGGTTTTCCCGTCTAATACTTATGTAACTGAAAGAACACTATGATACGACTGGTCACATTGGTATTTTTTGCGAATCTTGAAGGTTATATGACTCCGACTTGTCGTTTGTGCACGAGTTTACTGACTGTTAGTCAAGGTTATTTTATCCTTACTAATTATGTCCGGAAGAAAAGGAAACCATTGTACAGATACTGTTGACAATGGTTACAGTAGTGTAGATGCATTTACTGCCTATCTTGTTGCATAGCCTTCTGCCCCATAGGTTATACAGCTCACAGTTTGCCGTTTTCACAACCTCTTGTCTCCCTTCAGTTTTCTCTATCGCCATTAGTGTGATTAATCAAGATAATACTTTGGTATTAGGTCTTATGATGCTAACGTATGTGAAACACTGAAACTAACATACTAAATGTGGCCGGTGTTGGCAATGGAAGGAAGCATCCAGTCATGTGGACCTGCTTCCAATTTACCTTCGAAGATGATAAATCAGTAATTCTATCGACTAAATTCATCGGAAAGAAACTTATCTGTAGAGCATCTTATAAATAGAGGCTTCATTACAGTAACTGGGTTCTGTATGTAGTTCACTAGCCTGACTATTCTGTTACTGCTTTTGACACATTAAATAGAAAAAGTATTGCGGAATTTCCGACCGTTAATCTTATGAATTTGTGGGAGGTCGTTTGTATGCTTACAACCAAGTACTTAGTCATACTACAAAACTTCCAGCTAGCGAATTCTGATGACGTTGTTACTATCCAGATTCCCCCCCGACCGTTGCTGCTACCTTGACGTGGTGGTCGGGCTTGCCTATCGTGATGAACCAATCGAGCTATGCTAGCTGGAACAATCGTTCCTCGAGGTCCTACCATGCCAGACAGGTCGTTTGAAGAGCGGTGAGACTAAAAGCAGCAAACCCAAGGTCCGAAGGCGAAGTCGTACTGCTGACTGTACAGAGGTGTGACAGCAGTAAGGTGTTTCCTTCAGACAACCAGCTTGACAGCGATGCTGCCTTTCCACAAGGAGGGGTGGGGTTAGAAAAGGTCGACTCTAAAAATGCACACCTCGCCTTATCCCACGGATATCCGTCTCCGGCGGTAAGGTTTTTTTTGAAGAACGGAGCTAACACAAAAACTACCCACAAAAAGACCGTGTGTGACCGGCCTCAAGCAGTTGTCCCTTGGGCACTGCGGTCACGCTCTCAGGTCATTAAGACCACTTCTAACCCAATTTCCTTTTCAGGTACCTCTAGAAGAACCCTTCCACGGTGTGGGCAACCGGGAAGTGATAACTGCCCTCATACCTCTAACAGCACTCAAGATCACTGTATTCATAATCAATCTCCTTCTTCAATTCCTACTATTCCTTCTACCTTGACTTTCAACACCAAACTTGCTCTCTCGGTTTCCTCCTCAAGTGTCACCATGGCCAACGATTCTAGTGCGCGAAACGCTGTCCCAGGTCTACTAAAACCTCGCTCCAAACTACACATTGGAGCCTTCAACGTACGTACTTTAAGTCAAATCGGTCAACAGGCCTCCTTAGCTAAAACCCTAGAATCTCGTACCATTGATTTATGCTGTGTCTCCGAAACACGCATACAGGATCCCAGTATGGTCATTCACTTGACCTCACCTCGCCAAAATGGACAGCCAACGAAATACACCCTCCGTGTATCTGGCGACCCGTTGGCTAGTTCTCGCGGACTTGCAGGTGTAGGCATAGCACTAAGTACAAGGACAGAACAGGCACTACTAGAATGGATCCCCGTTAACAGTCGCCTGTGTGCTATCCGGCTAAATGGCTCCGTAAGAACTCGGAAGGATAGGGACATACGTCGTTGCCTTTTCGTCGTTTCTGCCTACGCTCCCACTGACCGCAGCCATGATGAGGTGAAAGATGACTTTTACAGAAAACTCTCTGGGCTTTTTCAGAAAGCTAAGCGCTCAGACATAGTAGTCGTAGCGAGTGACTTTAATGCCCAGGTAGGCAGCTTGAATCAAACAGAAAGACATTTAGGTGGATGTTTTAGTATTCCGGCTCAACGAACCGATAATAGTGATCGTCTGTTGCAACTATGCTCAGACAATCGTTTATTTTTAGCAAGCACTAATTTTAAACATAAGGAGAGACATCGTCTAACACGGCGACCACCTGCACCAAACCAACGATGGACTCAAATAGACCATATTGTCATCAGTCATCGTTGGAGAGGCTCAATAGAAGATTGTCGCTCGTATTGGAATACTTGTTTAGACTCTGATCACGCTTTAATACTAGCGCGCATTTGTCTGCGCCTCAATAGACGCAGGAAAAGTACACTAAGAAGACCCATTAGGATTGAACTGGAGGACGAGAAAGCCAAATGCAAATTCCAGAAACAACTGAGTTCACATCTAGTCAGTTCTGTAAACGAGACTGACCCAGATGCTGCTTGGAAAGACATACGAACAACTGTGGAAACAGCAGTAACATCTATTAGTCATTTAAACCATAGGGCTCCAAAAAACCAATGGATTTCTTCTAAGTCTATTTCACTGATGGATTCGCGTAAACTCATCCCATCAGGCTCTGAACACGACGAAGAGCGTAGACAAATTAGATCTAGGTTAACTAAAAGTCCAAGGAACGATCGTGAGCAGTGGTGGGCAACGAAAGCTAAAGAAATGGAAAAGGCAGCGGCTGTAGGCAACACCGGGCAACTATTCAGACCAATAAAAGAAACCGGAATTAAGAAGTCAAGTGTAAGTAAGACAATCTCCGAAAAAGACGGAACCCTTATCTGCTCTCAACCCAAACGTTTAGAACGATGGGCGGAACACTTTAAGGAGCAGTTTAGCTGGCCTTCAGCTACTGCACAACTACCCACTATTCCTAGAAAACCTGAATGGAACATTGAAGTAGGCCCCCCGACCCTACTTGAAGTTCAAAAGGTTATAGGTAATCTGAAACTAGGAAGAGCAGCTGGTCCTGATGGATCAACTTCAGAGGTCTTTAAATATGGTGGTCCGATTTTAGCGATTAGGTTGACTAATATTCTGGCTAAAATCTGGGAGACGGATGCAATCCCATCCGACTGGTCACAATCACTGATTGTCCCAATATATAAAAAGGGGTCAAAATCATCCTGCGATAACCATAGAGGGATTAGTTTGACTAACATAGCATCTAAAATACTAGCCTCAATAATTATCGGGCGCTTAATTAGGACTCGTGAACTGCAAACACGAGAAAATCAGGCTGGCTTCAGACCTGGTCGTGGCTGTATCGACCACATATTCACCATTCGTCAAGTTTTAGAGCACAGACACGCTTATCGGCGTCCGACAATGATAGTTTTTCTTGACTTGAAAGCAGCATTTGACTGTAGACCGAGAGGTTCTGTGGCAGTGTCTGTCATTGAAAGATGTACTGGAGAAGTACATAAACCTTGTGAAGGCTCTTTACTCGAACACTACCAGTCGAGTGAGAGCTTATGGCGAACTGTCATATGATTTTACAACCTCAAGTGGTGTCCGACAAGGCTGTCCACTATCCCCATTTTTGTTTAACTTCATTATAGACCTGTTGCTGGAAATAACAATCTCTTCGACTGAATTTACAGGAATTGATCTCCTACCAGGGGGACCACTAAGCGACTTAGAATACGCAGATGACATAGTCCTGTTTGGTGAAGACGCTGGCAAAATGCAGAGTCTTCTGTTGGAACTCAGTAATAATGCCAGGATGTTTGGGATGCGTTTCTCCCCATCCAAATGTAAATTGTTACTCCAGGACTGGCCTGCGTCAACACCTGAACTACGGATAGGGAGTGAAGTAGTCGAACGCATCGACAACTTCACTTATCTCGTAAGTCTGGTCAGCTCTAATGGGTTGGTGTCTGATGAAATCTCAGCACGGATTCGAAAAGCTCGTTTGGCTTTTGCCAACTTGCGTCACCTATGGCGAAGACGAGATATCCGTCTATCAATTAAAGGACAAGTATACTGCGCATCAGTTCGCTCTGTTCTACTTTACGGCTGTGAAACATGGCCATTAAGAGTAGAAGATACTCGTAGGTTACTAGTATTTGACCACAGATGCCTTAGAAATATTGCTCGCATCTGCTGGGATAACCGGGTAAGTAATAGTGAGGTTAGACGCAGGGTATTAGGGAACGATGGTAAATCAGTTGATGAATCTTCATCGACAGAGATGGTTTGGCCATGTGTTACGTATGCCTGAACACTGATTACCACGACGCGCTATGATGACTAGTACTGGGGATTGTTGGAAGAGAGTTAGGGGCAGCCAAACCAAAACATGGCATCAGTGTTTGAAGTCACAAACTTCTAGTCTGAGCCATGTTGGCAGATGCAGACTACCTGGTTGGGGTCCGCGTGACTATCGTAACCAATGGTTGGAGACTTTAGGTGACATGGCTCAGAATCGAACACAATGGCGTAGGTGTATGCGCTCTTTATCTTCCCTTAAACCTTGAGACTAAAATAGCTTCATATCTCTCTTCCTTCCTGTACTATATCCTTATATACAACCTATAATTTATATACTACTACCACCACTAAATTAATTACTTCTATGAATCCGGTGTTCATCTTGTTGTGCTAACGAGGTATGGCAACTTGGACCGATGCATATATGTGCCTGGTCCTACGTTGTAGCTGACTTGACTGACTTAAATCCAGATTCCAATATTTGGGTCACCATAAAATATCTAAAAGTAACTAGTAAATTATTTTAAGCGAATAGTAATGTAGATAAACAATTGTTTTTTATTGTTAGGAACACTGAAGAACTTTGATTCACTTACTATTGATATGTTGAACTAACCTAGCATATAAAAATTGCCATTATAACTTAGTAGTTCATAAAATGTAACAAAAAATGATATTGAAATGCCTATCAACAGCGGAATTGTGTAACAGCATTAGTTTTTAATATTTGTCAGCCAGTAGGCTTGAACGTGCTCTTACGACGCTTTTTAGTAACATCTGTTGATACATTCATTTTTCTTAAATACATTTAACCAGCAATCCCATCATTTATTTCGACCTCGTGTTTTTTTCGTATCTTAGAATAATTGGTCTCCTGCTCTTACTATTAGTAAAGTTTTACTGTCCATTTGCTCGTTACTTACTGATTGCAATCCTGCCGACCCGCTTGTTGGATCTATTGCTAGCCAATACATGCATAACAGATCAGAACATGATCGCATTGCACGACTGTGGACACAAAAATATGCAAATTCTGCTACTTATCCCTCTACTGGGCATTCACATGGTATGAATGTGGATTCCGAATCTTCTAGGAGAGAATCACGTATGACACTATCCCCCACCCCAAGATCATCAGATTCCGGACATTCAGGCTTCGCGTCATCAAACAAAGACGAAATTCTAACTGAAGTACCATGTACAGAAAGCAGTAGTGCAAGTGCCTGTACAAGCATTGGTGCTAGAAGTGATGGAGGAGAAAGTGTAGATGAAGTTCTCGAAGACGACACTCCCGTACCTTCTGCAGAAACAAATATTGCCCATTCATTCACTCCAGCTTAATATTTGCAATCCCCTAATCTTGTTTATTTACCTGGTTCTTTCGTTTCCTTATGACTCATTGTTTTAATTTAATCTATAGCTTGCTTTGTGAATCTTTTCTAAAAGATCATGTGCACTTTGTTAACTGTTTCTTAAGCGATTCCAGCGTAGCTACCAACATTTGTTTAGTTTGTTTTCTTATTTACATTCCTTTGTCGGCATTTTTTTCTGATTACTTTCTGAAACGGAGAGAATATGGCGACACCCCACTAAAAGTATCTCCGACTTTTTCAAAATCTCAGGTGTTTACTTTAGGTCTAACTAAAGTTGCGGATCAGTTTACGCATATTTTGTTTCTAATTGTTTCAAAGTGAAACTGCAACCATCGCTGATCGTTTTCATAATTATTCTATGATATAACGGCTGTACAAAGTTAGCACTGTTCAAGCTGATTAATAATCGTATACTAACATGTATTATATGCTTATGTTTCTTAATCTCTGTGCATGTGAACATATCAGCATTTCTCAGTCCATTATTGTTTATTAGGTTCTTGATGTTCATTAAATAAAGTACATTTTAGAGCAAATAATACTAGTTTCTACCATAGTTTTCGTGATAAAATCACTTCAAACTCTATTTGTTTGCTAAGTGGAATAATGAATTACAATCTTAATCATCCAAAAGGTTTTTCATTTCATAAGTCATATTCTAATAGTAGGTTGGTACTGTTGTTACCAGCATAATCGATACTTATATATTTCTTGTCGTCTTACTTTGTTCCTTATATGGTATAAGCGCTTGATTTTGAAATGAGAAGTAAAACTTGGAATAGTGGCTTTTTATTAATATATCTTCGGGATCGGTAACGTGATTCGTAAAACGGAGTAACAGTCAAAAGTGCATATGTGTGAAATATATATATTGAAAAAACGTTGTTGGCTAAGCAAGAATAAACCGACAAGGTGTTCTACATTGTTTTTTCGGAAAACCCCAACGAATCATGACAGTAAACGTGAAGTTAAATAAATGTAAGTAGTGGAACTCAATGTATTAATACGACCAGGCAAATGTACAGCTCAAATATCCATATAGTAACTTTTCAGATATTTTCAGACGCTGTTTTAACAGTTTATGAGCGATAATGAGGTAACCACTGCAATTAAGACATATTCAATAAATGACTGGTTCATTTTTTCCGCATTACACCTCTACCACTAACTTATCAATTAGGAGTATGTCCTACTACCATTTCCTTTTAATAAATACTCATTGCCATGTTCAAGGTTTTTTTTAAAATACAACAAGTATCCAACATTTATTTCCAGAAAACGATAAGAACTGATCTTTTATTAAATATTAGTGGTAAAAAATATGTAGATATACATCTGAATGTTGAAACAAACAAAAAATTAGCGTGATAAATTGTGTTCTTATTTACTGAAAAGTAAAAATATATATTATAAATAAATAATAAATTAATTTAGAACAACTCATCGGACCATATTATGTGTATTTTCGAAAAATACACCAACACGAGGTAGTAATTCATAGAAGAGTATGTAAGCATTATCATTCTGAAAGAGAACAAAGCAGAAAAAGTGAATTAAAATGAGTAGTTTATAGCATATAAAAGGTTTACCACAAATTTCATATCAGTCATAACGTGGTTTACATGTCCATTAGCCAAAGTTGCCGTATTGCACCTCAATACAGAGAAAATACTGACAATCTGTATGAAGACTATCCCAAGCTTAGGACCACTGCTGTGATTTACTCTTTGAAGGATTGCAGGGAAGATGAACAGTTGTGGCATTTATTTTCGATATCATAGTGCATTGAAAAAAAGCAAGCATAACTTCGAGCCAATAATTTTATCTTCTTGACTCCAGAGTGACCATTGTGAAATTGCTTGAGAACTTTTTAGCGCAATAATTTCGGTACTCTAATACGGTGACCAAACATAACACATGAGTCAACAACCACCAAGGAGTCACATCAACGAAAGTATTGTAAGAGTTGAAAACGATGGTTTGATCAGTTCTCTTAATGTCTTGTCACTTGCAATGGCTTCTTTGATTGATTCGAAGGTAACCCGTAGTTCAAACAACACCTGACGAACTTCTATTTCATTTTCTATTGCTGGCACGAGAGTTTCTTCTACAGTTTTCTTCTGTGAACCTATTAGTCTCGATAAGACACACGCCTGTAGTAGACTGGTACTTAGTCTTGAAATTGTAGCCCGTAACTGTGGTTGCCCATCGTTGTATTGAGCTAGCTATGTAGACCCAAATCCCTTTCTTTGGATCGAATACGACTAGTAATGGTTTATGATCACTTAAATTGACGTCCGTATATTATTTTGTGGAATTTATTAACGGAAAAGGTGCTCCTTTTTCAATATGGCGATAATTACGTTCTGTCGTTAAGACTCTATCTAAATGAAAGATCGGTTCTTCAGATCTATCGGGAAACATATAAGGGATAACTACTTCAATATCATACTTTGGAGCATCTGATGCAACCACGGTATATGAAGGAGGGTCATAATGCTCAAGTAAGAGGTCGGAGACTACGAGTAATTTTCTCGAAAGCCACCTGAAAATCTGTGGACAATATTCATCTTGTATTCTTTACTAGTAAATGATTTATTGGGGCACGTAGGTGGTGATCATAAAGAAAAGTTCTATAATGTCTAACCATTCTCAAAAGATACATGAAACAGTGAGTTTGAATCATATTTTTAGTTTTTTGTCAATTAGTTATTAGGGAAGAGTTAGTTAACAGTACTATACATCAGTTTACACTGGATGCGTCTGGAGATCGACATTATTACTGAACATTGGGAAATGTATACACCAACGTGATTTCTTAAAAGCGATTATATGACATAAATGTATAGTAAATTAAAATATGCAAAGAAGTTATTGTGATTAACACTGATGTAACATGCACTTTAACATAAATCTGAATAACTACGGGGTTATCTTACATTTAAATTTGATGGCTTATATTAAATAAATGTTTTGTGAGAAAGTAAAGTGGAGCAATACACCAAATATTTAGGCGTTGGGGTCATCGTCTAACAAACATTATAGATAACCTAGAGCAGATGCATATATATATTCTGATAAACTGCATTCAGATGACTCCGAAATGATCAACTGAGAGTCTGTTTGATTATTATTCAAATACTAATTCTATGCAGCAAAATATTTCACTTATTTTTTGTTTATAATATGAGTTGTCGATTACACAAAAGACTTCTGGATTATTTTGTAATTTGAACTATACTACTAAGAGTAGAACAAGGCATATTTAAAGAAATACCATAGCACTCATGAAAACGATTCGTAGAAAACTTTACAAGTTTTAACAATAAAATTAGTTTAATATGTTATCATTTTATAATGATGCCTATTACTAATAATTTCATATCTCATATGCCGCCGTTAGAAAAAGTAAAACAGTTAATCTCAGCTGAGCAATTTAAGACCGTAACTTTATCCTACGGTCTCACTAACTACATAGCAAACATAATGAATGGAACTCGACTGACTAAGATCATTCAGCTCAGAAAAAACCCATTCCCAAAAACCTCTTGCAAAAACGGATTTTCCAAATCATCCCAAGTTTTTTATATCGTGAAAATTTTAAACTTCACTAAAAGATTACTTATGTATATATGAGTAGAATAGATGGTCATTATTAAGTCACATGAGTTGTACTTGTAAAATTGATCCGACTAGAATAGTAGTAGAAGCAATGCGCTTCAGCAAGTCAGAGTCATAGCGGGAAATAATTAAAAGCATAATATGGCATTTCCTACAATAAACTGATCATGGATAGGACGAGAGTGAAATAAGGTTATGAACACACTCTTATCATAGGTTTGGAGTTCATAAAAATAGTAACCATGATCAAATTTAGGACTCTTAGAAGTTACCATTAAATAAATAGGAGGGATTTCCCGTATACTGCCTTATTCATAAACATATTTTTTTGATTCAAAGACATCGAAATCTGATGTCATGCAGCTATTGGTTCAACTTTGGAATTCAGTAATCGTGACAATTCAGCTTGATTTATCAAACTGATTGAAATGCTACTTCATTTGATTATCATTTTTGATTTGCCCAATAAACAAGTACATCAGAGAAATTAAGTGTTCTAATCCGAGAACTTCGTTACACTAACACATATGTTAATATTATGAATTCTGTAAATAACTTACTTGTATTTCATTTTTATCCAATAAAGATACATTTTCATCGTCATATTCATACCACCGACCGTCACGGATGTTACGACAAAATGTTGTATCTGTTGAAATATTAAAAATGTTAAAATATATAACTGACAAAAACAGTACGCTAGGATAAAATTATTCATTAAGCAGGGGAACTAAAGTATTACTCAACAAATGCAGATGAGGAGGAAGTCACGGAGCAGTTACAACAAAACAATCCGTTGAATTGTAACGTCAACAACTATTACTAAAAAAATGTGGGGAAATATGATTTGTAGACATTATTAACAAATACATTCATTATAAGCAAAGATGGATAGTGGCTAGCAGTGGAATCCGGGACGCGCGTTTCGTCCCATTTGAGACTCGTCAGCTGGATGTACCTGCATCTCAGAGTTGATGTTCACTCTGGGACTCGAACCCAGCACCCTCGCTTCAAACGCCACCGCGTTATCCACTCGGCCACTTAGTCCTGATAGCCACTTGCTTGTGCGATGGGGTGAAGTTTAAATTCACTTAGTATTGTTTGTTTGAATCTTCCCATCGAGTCCCAGAGTGAACATCAACTCTGAGATGCAGGTACATCCAGCTGACGAGTCCCAAATAGGACGAAACGTGCGTCCTGGAATTCACTGCTAGGCACTATCCATCTTTGCTTATCATGCTTGTGAATCAAAGCTAGATCGAGGCAGTACGCACATATGCCAATTAGAGACTGACCAGTTGCAGTCCTAACACATCGATGGGAAGATTCAAACAAGCAATGCTAAGT